CCGCGAGCGAAGGGGTGCGTTTTCCCCACCGCGGACTTGTTTCCACCCGCTGCCTCTCCGCTCCCCAGTCCGTGCTCGCGTCCGCTCTCTCCGCTCGCGACTCCAGCGCTAGGGTTTGCGCCGCCGCCGCCTTGGGTCGCGCTACCCCTCCCTGTCCGCTCGTCGGTGACGTTCGTGGCACCGCTCCCGCTGCTCGGTTGGTAGCTAGCCCTCTCCCCGTCATCTTCCTCGGAGGCGACCGCATCTCTCCGTTCGGTGGAGGCCGGCTCCGTTCGTGCTCCCCGTCGCCCTTTCCTCTGCTCTGACCTTTCTTCTGCTTCGACTCAAGGTCTCAAGCTGATGCTGGTTCAACCATCCCTTGTCCAAGATCTATTCAGGTACTTGTCTTTACTGATGTATGGATTGTAGGTTTGATTTGTATTGCAAATGGACGAATTATATATGCATAGCATGGTTAGGGACATAGTCTGTGTAGCTAGATTTTGGTTCTATACATCCTAAGCTACAAGAAGCTAGATTTTTGCCTCATTTCAAAGATTGCATTGGTGCAATCGATGGCACACATATACCAGTAACCGTTCCATTACATGAGCAACCTAAATACATTGGCCGCCATGGTTATCCTTCGCAAAATGTAATGGCAGTACGTGACTTTGATATGCGGTTCATATTTGTTGTCACTGGTTGGCCCGGATCTGTGCATGATAGTCGTGTCTTATTGGATACTCTAGTCACATACAAGGAACAATTCCCACACCCTCCCGAAGGTATAAATCATTTACATTCCAATGCGTTTTTTGCAATGTACAAGGATATGAGGTGTGTTTTAACTAACTTGTACATTAAAAAATGTAGGAAAGTATTATCTGGTCGATTCAGGATATCCTAATAAAAAAGGGTATATTGCACCATACAAGGGACAAAGGTACCATGTTTCTGCATGGCAACATGGTCATACTCCGGTGGGATTGAAGGAGGTGTTCAATCATTCGCATTCAAGTCTGAGAAACATGATTGAGAGGTCATTTGGAGTCCTGAAGATGAAATGGTGCATTCTCTTGAAGCTGCCCAAATATTAGGTGATCAAGCAATAAAAAATTATAGTTGTTTGTATGGCCCTTCACAATTTCATTAGAGAATAACATAAATGATGCTGACTTTCAATCGCATATCCAAGAAGATGGTACAAATGGATCCGAATCCAGCTCAGGTGAAGGAAGTGCTTCTGGAGATGACATGGATATGAGTGCTTTGCGTGATGCTATAGCCACAGCTATTGTTGGTTGATTAACGGTTGTATCCATCTCAATTTGTCCTTGTGTTAATTTCATGTTGTGTAACATTAGTTATTGGAACAAACTTTTAATTATGTGAACATAAAAAATTAGTACCATAACTGTCTTTAGCTCGTATTCAGTGAACAAATGAGGTGTCATCAGCCTCAGGGGCATACAGGTCATTTTACACTCAGGACAGACAATCTATGGGCAATAATCAAGATTGCCAAACACTCTCAATTATTTATACAGCAGATTCTTTACATCGCAGCTTATCAGAAAATCCTGATTAGATTAAAATCGATTCTCAGGTAAGCGTTCCCAAACAGGCAGACAGTTGTGGACCGTGGTGCTGTTGCTGTGAGAAACTTCACCTCCCTCTGTCCGGCGCAGGACGAGGGGCAGATTCAATAATTACATAGTGACTGCCTACAAGGAGTCGAAATGGGATCTGGGGCCAGCATTATGTGTAACAACTAAGGGCATGCGAAGAGAAGTTTGTGGGGTTCTATAAGGTAAAAAGATGGGGGGATTGAAGACAACAAGTTTACCTGAAAGGTGAGCATGCCCAGTGCCCTCATCTAGTCATCTGCCCCTTATTCAGCAACACCACGACTGAGAACCCTCTCACAAGGTTGTTGGCGAAGAGAAGGATTTACCTGGGGATAGATGCTGCTTGTCCTGTGCTTTCCATTGTGCTGTCTGCAGGAAGAACATATGATCCTTCCATATCAACAACATATCATGTAAACTACATGATGACAGAATTTCTAATATGTCTGTTCAAATAAGTCACTCTAGAACAACATTAGCCAGCACTACATGGTTTCTGTTAAACATCAGGAATATGGCGTGCCGACCACCACATAAAGCCACACTTTTGCACCTTATCACTAGAGACATTTAACTTTGACATAATACGATGCATACTCCATTGGACTTATTCTACCACTATGCCAGTGGAATATGCTGATGAGAGGTTGGCTCATAAGTTTGGCCGCAATGGTGCCTCCATTTTCGATTACACAATAGCTCAAGTTTATCTCTCTCAGCTATTGCTACTTCGCTAGAGACTGGAAATCAATTCCAACTATAAAAGTTTTGCAGTTAAGTACTGATCTACTTATTCTCAGGATTTTGTTAAGAGGCAAACAAGACAATCACAATACAGTGAGTAATTGAGCTTTAACAAGCATATACCAAACAACAACAGCAGCAACAACAACAACAACATAGCCTTTCAGTCTCAAACAAGTTGGGGTAGGCTAGAGTTGAAACCCACCAAGAGCCCCAAGTCACGGTTCAGCCACTTCAATAGCTGCTTTCCAAGCACTCATATTCAAACATAGATCTCTAGGTATATTCCAAGCTTTCAAATCTCTTTTTATTGCCTCCCCCATGTCAATTTCGGTCTTCCTCTACCTCTCCTCATATTATTAGCTTCGCTTAGAACTCCTTTGGACATGGTCAAACCACCTCAACCGATGTTGGACAAATTTTTCTTCAATTGGTGCTACCCCTAGACGATCACGTATATCATCGTTCCGAACTCGGTCCATTCTTGCGTGACCACAAATCCATCGCAACATACGTATTTCTGCAACACTCAGTTGTTGAACATGTCGAATCTTTGTAGGCCAACATTCTGCTCCATACAACATAGCTGGTCTAATCGCCGGTCTATAAAACTTGTCTTTTAGCTTTTGTGGTACCCTCTTGTCACAGAGAATGCTAGAAGCTTGTCGCCACTTGATCCACCCTGCTTTGATTCTATGGCTAACATCCGATCAATATCTCCATCCCTTTGTAGCATCGATCCCAGATACCGAAAGGTATTCTTCTTAGGCACTACTTGACCTTCCAAACTCATATCTCCCTCCTCCTGTGCAACTCCGCCAAAGTCGCATCTCATGTATTCGATTTTAGTTCTGTTCAATCTAAAACCTTTAGACTCAAGGGTCTGCCGCCATAACTCTAGTTTCCTATTTACTCCCACCTGACTTTCGTCCACAAACACTACATCATCAGCGAACAACATACACCAAGGGATATCCCCTTATATGTTCCTAGTAACCTCATCCATTATCAAGGCAAAGAGATACGGGCTTAAGGCTGACCCTTGATGAAGTCCAATTTTAATCGGGAAGTAATCTGTGTTACCATTGTTTGTTCGAACACTAGTCACAACATTGTTGTACATGTCCTTGATGAGGGTCACATACTTTGATAGGACTTTATGTTTGTCCAAAGCCCACCACATAATATTTCTTGGTATCTTGTCATAAGCCTTCTCCAAGTCAATAAAAACCATGTGGAGGTCCTTCTTCTGCTCTCTAAACCGCTCCATAACTTGTCTTATTAAGAAGATTGCTTCTGTGGTTGACCTTCCAGACATGAAACCAAATTGATTTGTTAATATCTGCGTCGTTCCTCGCAGGCGCTGCTCGATGACTCTCTCCCATAGCTTCATAGTGTGGCTCATCAACTTAATTCCCCGATATTCCAAACAGCAAGTTAACACAAAATACTACAACATTTTCAAGCAAAGTGAAAAGTCTCTAGCTGGACACCTGGACCTGGACCTTATAAACTCCAGGGATCATTCATATATCACCATTCTGGACTGAGTTTTTTAAGGAGAATATCTCTGCTTTTATGAAAAGCAAATGTTTACAGAGATCAACAGATTGGGGGCACCAGTTCACCAAACAAAAGCACAAAAGAGATCTATTAAAAAACACTAACTATCCTATTGCATATCAAGCGGTCATACTTCTCCAACATCAATCGCTAGGATAGTGTTAGGAGTGAACTCCTTCATCCAATTCAGAATTTGTTGCACCACTCTGGAATGAGTTGGTACCCATAACCTGGCCACGACTGCAGTATCTATGCTGTTGTGATCCATGCCATTGGGAGGAAATGTGAAATAGTTGTTGGCAGCAGTTATAGGCTTATAGCTTTACTGGGGTCCTTTGGCTAATGAATTTGCAATTGGGGCAGTTGGCAAAGATAGAGAAGTGAACCAGAAAGGGCATTTGACATGTGATATTGAGAATTATCTTTCAACTATTGCAGAATTTACTAACTTTTCTAAGATATCCTACACGGATCAGAACTAAGTGCTGTAACATTTAGGTATTGTCTGAAATAGCATTTGGCACCATACTTATATTGTTTAAGTGATTGTTATTTGTTCATCATCTATGAATCACAATTTACAGGTATAAATATTCATGCCAACCACACAACTACAACAGACGCTTACATTTAGATGAATGTGACTGGGTAGAATATGGAACTAATGCCTGCTCTAACGTGATGTTTCCACACCAGTTGTTAGCATCAGTTTGAAGCAAACAAGTTTTACACACCTCTCACCTATAGAACAAGTTAGCACCAATTCGGATGATTTGAAGTTTCAAGTTTCAAGACTAGATGTCAAATTTTCTAAGATAAATGATTATAATATGCCATGCCCCAACTTGCTTGGGACTGAAAGGCTATGTTGTTGTTGTTGTATGCCATGCAGAAAAAAGAACAAAAACTACACGAATAAACAAATTCAAGATAACAAATGGCTGGTTTTTAAACTAAGCAACTTAATCAAAGGAAGAGGAGTGGTGTAAAGATAGTCAGGTGATTTACCAGAGTTCTCAACTGCAATAAGCTCAGGCTGAAATCCAGGCATCACTGTGTAATATCCAAGCCAAATATCAGATCCTAAGTGCCCATTACCGCCATTTCCTTCCTCAACTTCTCCACCATCTCATAGTTTTCAGACTTCTCATAGGCACTAATAAATGCATGGTACACCTCGCTGCCAGCATTGAATCCCTTTCCAGCCATCTCTGCTTGGAGTTTGATTGCCACCTCCACCTCCCCTTCATCACAAAACCCCCTAATCAACACCTCATAACTCCTCCGAGTTGGCACAAACTCTTCCCTCTTCATCTCCTCTCGCAAAACACCCAAGCCATCCTCAACCCTCCCATTTTGACATAATACATCCAACAATTCCTCAATAGTCTCTGGCGCCAACCCAAACCCCCTCCTTTTCATGTCTGCACGCACAAGCATTGCTGCCTCATCATCCCGTGCCATACAATGCCCTCTAACCAACCATTCGAACGTTGTGGCAGTTGGATCAATCCTGCCCATCAACATATTTTTAAACATCTCCTCTGCCATCCCTACCTCCCCAGAATGGCAATATCCACTAATCATTGTGTTGTACGCAGTTACATCAGGCTGGATCCCTTCCTGAATCATCTCATCCCACAGTGCTTGTGCCGTCTCCACATGTCCGCCATTGCAGTACTCAGCCATCATGATGCTGTAGGTGCACACGTTGTGCTTGCAGGAATATTTGCCCATTTCCTGGAGCACAATCTTGAATCCATCACACTTGCCTTCGCGGTGGAAAGCAAGGAGGAGGGAATTGAAGGTGTGAACGGTCGGCAGTAGGAGGTGATTGCTCCGTGGACTTGGATGCGTGTAGATTTGATGATACATGTCGAGGGCCGCGGTGGCGGAAGGGAGGGAGCGAAGAAGAGCCGCCGTGGTGGAGGGGAGCGGCCGGGCGCCGGCAGCGAGGATGCGGCGGGCGACGGAGGCCGCGGCGAGGGCGTCGCGGCGGGAGCGGAGGTAGGCAAGGAGGAGGAGGTCGAAGACGAATGGGGCGGAGGCAAAGCGGCGGTAGGTGGCGGCAAGGGCGTTGAAGATCTGGGCCGGTGAGTAGTGGCGGGAGGCGGAGGCGAGGACGACGAGGGAGGCGCCCCGGAGGCGGGAGGCCGCCGCGACGTGGGCTGCGGAGGCGGAGAAGACGAGAGGGGGAGGGGAGCGGGAGGGAAGGAGGCGGCGGAGGGCGAAGGCGTGGAAGCGGAGCGCGGTGTGCGGTCGGTGTCGGAGGAGGAGAAGCACGGCGGCGGCGGCGGAGGCCGGGAGTGGGGAGGGGACGGGGACCGAAGAGAGGTGGGACCACTTGGACTTGGTGCGGTGGGAGGTGAGCGCGGCGGCTGCAGCGACTGCGTACGGATGGGCGGCGTCGATGAAAAACTGGGACGTGGGGTCGGCGGTGGGGTCTCGGCAGCGTGTACCGGCGGCGGCGGCCATGGAGAACCCTCTGGTGCGTGGTGTGCGTTGGTTGCCTGGTTCTACATGAGTGATCAGACGACCAGCCACCAGGATCGGGTCTGGGCAGACCGTGTTCGGTCCCCGTCGAGCTCGTCGTGCTGGCGAAGGCGCGAAGTAGCTCGGGTACCTGTGACACGACCACTGGCCCACGGAGAGTAGCTGAGTAGTTTTGGGTCTCGGCTAGTGTCTCTTGGGCCTCTCGACCCGTGTCGCGTCTGACGTGAGTTGTAAGGGCCTGCTTGTTTGCTCCTACTAAAGTGTAACTACTAAATTTTAGTCACTTTAGTTACTAAACTACTAAACAAACTAATTAAAAAAGAATTAAAGTAGTTTAGTCATATTAGTCACCCAAAAATAGTTAAAAATGAGCTAAAGTGCCCAGTAAACAAGGATTGTCCCTCATTATTGCTGGTTCTTCACCTTGATTTGGGCATTCATTAGAGATAGTTTGATTTTTGTTGAACTACTTTAATGGCCTTTAGTCACCAGAACCAAACAGGAATGATTAAAGTTTAGTTATTGATTTTAGTAGCTAAACTTTAGTAGGGGAAACCAAACAGGCCCTAAGTTGTAACTGTCGTCGGAAGAGGCAATAAGTTGTAACCGCTACTTTCGCCGCATCTTCTGTGACCCTCATCCTAGAGACCTAACGAGTAACCAGCGCACGATTTATCTTCAGTAATGCTGGGGCTATGGCGTCACGATAGGAATCCATCGGACGCCGTCGTTGTTGGCCCACAACGCCGGTCGAACGGCTCAACCGACTCACATCGCATTGTTAAAAAAATACGGAATACTCCGCTCTCACTTTTCCTTTCCTCAGGCTTCCCCACAGCGCCCGCACCCATTCCGCCGTGCCCCTGCACCGTGACCGCACCATCGTGGCGTGTTGCATCATGGCCGCGCCGCTACACCGGCATTGTCGCGACGTGCTCCACCATGTCTCTCTCCACCGTGCCCCACCGGCCATCATCCCTCCTCCCCACCACACCCGAGCGTGTCCGACCGCCTTTGTCGCTCTTCACTGCGACTCTACAGCGCGCCTGCATCTGCTTTTGTGCTGGTGCTGTCGTTGCGCACGCCTGTCCTGCGTTGCTCGCTCCTCTCTTCTGCCCGTCGCGCGCGCCCACCTCTGCTGGCTGGGTCGCTCCCTCCCACGCACATCGGCCTGGTGGTGCTCGTGCGCCACCACTCACCGCCGACTCTGATCTCGTCGGCTCGAATCGACCGGCCCCGGCCTCCCCCATGTTGCAAACACATGTTTCAAGTGTTTCAGATGTTTCATAGGTATGTTGCAAGTGTTTCATATACGGCTCGAATCGACAGGCCTAGGCCTCCCCCATATTGTAAACGCATGTTTCAAGTGTTTCAAATGTTTTATAGGTATGTTGTAAGTGTTTTTATACGGACGTTGCAAAAGTAGATCGAGATGTTGCATATGTTGCAATGGTTGTACACGTATGTTGCAAGCCTTGTTCTCAATGTTTCATCTGTTTTTTCCGACGTATGTTGGAAGTGTATTTATCTGGATGTTGCATATGTTTTCACCCATATGATGCAAGTGTTTTATCTGGATGTCGCGTATGTTTACAATGGTTTAAGTGTTTTTCAGGTGCTTTTTTCAAAGTGTTTCAGACGTATATTGCAATTGTTGCATTTGGATGTTTTAAAACTAAATCGGATGTTGCATCTCCCTCCTCGTCTTTCTGTTGTCTATCTTTAGTGTTAGGCGCAGGAAGCAAGCGCAGGCAGAGGCGGTCCCCACTGGCACGGGGCAGGCCCCATGTGCTTGTGGGCGGGCGCAGCAGGCGATACGTGGGTAGGCAGGCGCGGGACGCAGGATAAGGGCAGCAGTGCGGGCGTTTGGACGGGGGCTAGCGTCCAGACGTTAGGGCGCTAGCCACACCCTTTTATCTTTTGCCACAGCTCATCTTCTTCAACTGTTCTTCTTCCTAGATGAACCATGCGAGCCCGCCAATGACCAACCCCCTCCTCCACTCTCCACCTCGGACTGTGCCATGCCGCTGGATGCCCACACCTGTCATTTCAGCTCCGCCCTCTCCCCCGGCACCGCCCAAACGGTTGTCTCTCACCGCCTGTTGCACGCGACAGTGGCACCGCCTTGCTCGTCGAAGGTCGCCCACCGCCGTCGGGCCCTTTTCTTTTTAAGCCCGTTGACCATGGAGGGTTTCACAGAAAATCTGAACATTAACCTCAAATCATGTCGCCGCCACCACTGCCCCGTCCCACGGCGTCGCCGGCCATCCCACCCACCGCCCGCCCCCTTCCCTTTTGATTTCACCGACGTCCTCGTGCATGCTTAGTTTGGGGTAGCAACACACGCGCACCAAATAAAGATATTGCATCTTCTCGCTGTTCTTCCTCAGATCTTGCTCCTCTTTACTAAAATTCGCCTTTCCCAATAGTTATCATGTAACAACCTACACTTGGACGCGGCCGACCCAGATGTGCTAGTGGGGTGCTGTTGTGTGTCAACCCAACGTGCACCGCCTTCGTCAACGATAGCTACGATTAGGCTGAGCCCACCACCTACATCGACGTGTGTTCGCCTTCTTTTTGGGCACCATCAAACATTGAGTAGTGGAGTGATGCATGTGCGTTTGTTTAACAGAAGGGAGCTCAAGACCAGAGAGGAAGAGGCATGTAGCTAAAGCTACCAGACGCTTTGTATCGCTGGGAGCAAACAACGGAGAGATTTGTGGAAGAAGCTGGTTGTTGTTCTCTCGGAGGGAGAGAAATGGCAGCGAGCAAGGCTAGCTGGCGATCTCGTTTTCATTTCACAAACTCTAACACGCGACGGTTGCGTGTTTGCGACACCGCGCAACCGTCAGTCCGGCACCAGTGTCGCCGCCTCCATCAGAGACGGGTTAGGGTTTGGCCGTCTCCCCTGGCTCTAGATCTCGATGGCAGTTTGGCCCCATGGTGGGTGGGCAGGGCAGCGGAGCAGGGCGTCGCGGAGCGTGGTGGTGGAGGGGGTGATTTGGGAGGAGTAGGAGCGAGGGAGTCTCGTCGGCGGCGGTTGTTGGAGGTGACGAATTAGAGGAGGGCAGGGTCGATGGGCGGAGGGCGAGCGAGGCGGCATGTCGTCGGCGGCTGCAGGGCGGTGGAGGGAGGCAGGCGTGAGCAGGGTCACGCACTTGCATGGGAGGGTGACCGTCGCGCGATAACTCTGTCCTTTTCATTTGACGCGACGCATCTCGACTTTTGATCCATCCTTCTCTTTTACCTAAACCAAATATAACCTTAATGTTAAGCTAGGTAAGCTGAAGGCCGTTTGATACAACTTTGACTATAGTCAAAATAATTTTAGATGTGGCTTCTATAGTGGAGCAGATATTTTTAGCTTCGAATTATCTAAACGAAGAAATATTTGGTAAAACAACTTCTCTTGGTTACAAAAAATGGTAAAACTAAAAGATACCCAACGTGTTGCTACAGAAACTACGAGAAAATCAGAATGGAATTATGTTGTGAAGGTGTGGATAGCTTGCATTAAGAGATTAAAAATTAGTAGCATGACATAAGTATTAGTGGAGGATGATGTACATAGTCAGTGGGAGATAATATAAATGTCTTGCACCAAATATAACCTTAATTTAAAACTGGGTAAGTTGAAGACCCGTTTGATATAGCTCTTACTATAGACAATAATTTTAGATGTGGCTTATGTAATGGAGTAATTTTTTTTTCAGGCCATATGGTGGTATGTCATGTGTGAATGGAAATACACAAAGGTAAATGGAACAGTGAGCCCGTACTTATAGAGCGACTAATCAAAGCTTATCCTAAGTTAGACAACTACTTTGCTTTTAACTATTCTCAAAAAGAAAATCTACAACGGCATTCTGTACACATACTTTTCTTTTGGTAGGATATACAGATACACCCTTTTTGTTATGCTTCGTGTAACTGCCCACATATTTTGACCATAAAGTGGACATTTGGTCTAACATGAACTAAGCACCTTTCTTTAATGGAACCTAAAGTATTCTGGTCCTGATGTGCTAGTTAACTGATGAAAGGGTACGACATCATCTTGTCCATGAGTCCATCTTTCAATGGCTTTGCTCCGGTATGTCCACAGGACGGCAGCCTAACCTACAATTCCGTTCCCGTCCCGTGCCGTGCAATGCCATGCCGGCGTACAGTCCGTATCCGTAACGACCCCGCCACTCTTTTATTAGCATCATCAAATCAAAGAATTTGAAGATATCATCCGCCCAAGTCTCGGAGCGAGACGACCGGCGACGAAAGCGAGCGGCCTCAGAACAGAAGCGAAGGGACCCGCCAGAGTCCCCTGAGTCCAAGCCCGGTCCGGCCCAGGCCCAGGCCCGAGCGGCAGGTCGCCGGCGATGCCGTTCCTCTCGACGCCGTCGTTCGACCTCTCCGCCGGCGCGGAGCCAACCCTAGGCCCGCGCCCAGCGGTCCCCCCGCCTCCACCCACCGCGGCCGCGCATCAGCATCAGCAGCCGCCGGTGTCCGAGGCGGCGGCCCGGCGGCTGCGGGAGGCGGAGGAGCGGCTGCGGGAAGCCATCGAGGAGCTCCACCGGCACCAGGGCGGCGGCGGTAAGGGTGAGGGGGACGAGCAGCTGGAGGGAGAGCGCGGGTGCGGCCACGACGGGGAGTCGTGCGCGGCGCACGCCGCGGGGAACCTGTGCCAGAGCTTCCTGCTCTCGTACGGCGTCCGCGTCGGCATCGGCATCCTCCTCCGCGCCTTCAAGCTCGTGCGCCGCAGGTCCTATGGCTCGCTCCTCGACCTTAAGGTACCCCTCCTGTTACTTCGCATCGTGGCGTAATTAGATCGGATGGGATGACAGATTAATCGGCTGCGGGAATTCAGTTGAGAACTTGGGATTGGATTGTGCAAATTTACTACCCTTGGTTTTATTGGTTGATTGGAGGAGAATTGGCGATTTTGCATGCTAATGAAAATGTCATGAAAAGGAATCGAGCGAAGGCCGGATTCATGTTTACATGCTGCTACTGCTGATGTTACAGCTTTCGCTTTCTCAATGCTTATTAGATTGAGCTATCACAAAATTTAAAATATTTGAGCCAGTTGTTGCAGCATTTGTAGTGCATATTCTAGTAGCCAGTACATGCCAGAGCTGAATTGGTTGCTTTGACTGATATATATCTACAGAATTTTTTCTGGTATGCATTGGTTTGGTCTATTTCGTGCCTTGAGGCTGTCCGCGCCCCATTCCAAACAAATACTGTTTGGCCACTACTGTCTGACCTACTGGTTCATTATTTACAAATACTATCCCACAACTAATGTCTCCCTATGTCCCTGTTTCATTATTTTAATTAAGTATACTCATTTTGAATACGTTCTGATTTACAGCAACTGGTTTCGGAGAAAGATCTTATAGTGAGAGAGGAAGCTTGTCGGGTAGGGTTGCTTTTTGGTGGATTCACTGGATCATATCATGCACTTCGATGTTTCCTTAGAAGATTTAGGAAAAAGGAGACACCGTACAATGCGTAAGTGCCTATATGCTATGACTCCTTGTCTATATTTCAACACAGAGCTCTGGTTGTGGTTTGTTAGAAGCATTTTTTTGTTAGAATTATGCATCTAACCAGGGCTTAACCTTTGGTAGTCACTAATAGGTCCATACTAGGCTATTTTCTATATCTTTTTTCCTTAAATCATATCCATGACTCAACTGAAGGGCGTGATGGAGCAGAATATTAGCAGGTTCGGTGGCAGGATTGGCCATACTAGCACTGGATGATTCAAGTAGGAGGCGTACTCTATCTCTATATCTTCTAGCAAGGCTCGCTCAGGTCATTAACAGTTAAACAGTTTGTTCATGTGGAGAAAATGGATAGAACTATAGAAGACCAATTATACAGGCAGTATTGATTTATTACTGCTTAATAATTGCAGTGTGCATATAATTCTGCAAAATCTAAGAACAAATTTCATTTTTGGGGAAGCCATTGGAGACATGGAGATGCATTGCTTTTTTCATTGGCATGTGCCCAGGTAACAAAACGAAGCTACCTAACACTATAGTTTGCTTTTTATATGAATATGATTCTGTTATGGTGGGAAAGGCTTGTGTAATCACCAGGATTATGTTTCCAGGTTATGTATGCTTTTGTTATGAGGCCTGAAAGCTTACCTAAGTCGTACCAAGAATTTATCCTTAAGACAGGACCAGTAGCAGAACCAGTCTACAAGGTTGTCAGAGAATGCTGCAGAGGTGGTCCTGTGGATCTAACTGCCCTGTCAGCCTATTTATCAAACAAGCCGAATCTGGATTTGATAAATTTAACAACAAATCCATCCATTATCCCCTGTTCTGTAATCCATCCTGACAGAGCATCATGCTTGGCTCAAAATATTAATGTTGTTTCATCAACATTCAAGAAAACATTCCCTCTATATTTCTCATTGACATTTGTGCCCTTTGTTGTCCTACATCTTCAAAAGGTAATTCACTAGCCACTTTATTTCATTATTCTGTTTAAGATTCAGCTACTGATATGTCCTTGCTATTATTTGTGTGCAACTTATTTCTCTCCAACATAACTATGCCTCAAGCAGAAACCGACATGATTACAGTTATATAGTGCCACTATCTTTTTACTGTGTTTGCATAACATGCTTGAATTTTGCTACACTCAATATGCTTGCACCATTTTTTTTCTGTCAATGGAAATATTTTCCCAAGTGCTAACAACTAAACGAAACTAGTACTCCTTCCGTTCCAAATTATAAGTCGCTTTGACTTTTTTGGTAAGTCCATTTTGCTATGCATCTAGATATAATTATATGTCTAGATACATAGCAAAATGGATGAACCAAAAAAGTCAAAGCGACTTATAATTTGGAACGGAGGGAGTATAGTATAGCTGTTTGCCATATGTAGTCTTGCTTACTGCTGGTGTATACATCACTGACTCATGCAATCCTTTTAATAAAAACATTAGTTCTTGGAATCGCCGACGGCAACTTGTTGGCGTGCTCTTGTGGGTGCAGTTCGCTCCACCACCTTTTTGTCTGCCTTTGTCACTATATTCCAGGTAATCATACATAGCAGCATACGTTACTTCACACGTAATTATTTCATGATTCTGATAGCGTTCTTGCATGGTGGTAGGCTGCTATATGTTTGCACCGAAAAGTTGCGAACAAAGACCACAAACTTGTGTATTGGTTTGCTGGTTTGATGTCGGGTCTTTCAATTCTTTTGGAAAAGAAAGCTAGAAGGGCTGAGCTAGCCCTCTATGTGCTTCCCCGTGCTGGAGATTCTCTATGGTATATATTGATCAACCGCCACCTGCTCCCAAATATTAAAAATGCTGAGGTAATTTTGCCCATTTCCCCCCTCACTTCTTTGCAATCTGTTTTCTAGTTATTTAGTTTTATTCAGTGTAATCCAAGAGGTAAAGTGAACAACATTTCTCTTCTCAAAAGGATTTGAAAATTTTGTGATAGAGCACATTATGTTGCTTGCCATTATGACAGAGAAGTATCTTGTAGTACAGAATCTTGTTTGAAGCAGTTATGGGCAGTGTACTCCTCAGTTATGAGCCAAGTAGTATGTCATTGGCTCGTTGCTATAGAGGGTGAATAACGCTTAAAGCACCCCAGGCACAATTAGTTGTAGTCTTCCCTTGGTTTATGTTTCAAAATCTGTGCAATTCACAAATGGTGGACCAAGGCACACTTTTATAGGCTAGTAGCTTTAGATAGTGATTTATTGTCCAGTAATGGTTCCTCAGTGGTGTTCGTATGGTAAGATCCAATTGAATGTTAGTTGGATGTAGCGGCACAATGGCATGGTTATTGCTTCACGGTTACTTGTTGACCACCTTGTTGAGTTTTTTTTTTGTTTGGTGTTAACTTCATTTTTGTTACAAAAATAGAGTGCAAGGAAGCGAAACATTTAAATCTGACAAAATCTTATACAATGATGCAAAATTGTGCATCAAGTAGGGTTCAAATTCTGCAGTTGCTAGTGGATTGATTTTTAGAAACCAGATGGATCTTTCATGTTTGAGTTATTTTAGCATGATCTTGACTCTTACGAGTATGAATAAAAACTGTGAGCTGACTGTTTTTTCCCAAAATGACATCAGACCATGCTAATTATTTATTGCCTTGCTGTTGACAATACAAAGTTAGGGGTCTGAACTTTTCATGTTTGTGCTTTGAAGTACATCTTGTATATGTTAGATTTTTTTTTTCTTTGTAAACCTTTCATTTTCAGTGTAAAGTTTCTCTTAGCATCCTGGATCAACCAACCTGCATGCGCCAACTTTTTTCAAAAACAGTAACTTGGTAACGTTTGCAGGTGGCTCTCTTCTGCATGTGCATGGGAGGAATCATGTATTTTCTGGAGTACGAGCCAGACACAATGGCTCCATTCCTCAGAGGGCTCATCAGGCGCTTCCTGGCAAGCAAGATCAGCAATCCAAGCCCCCTGCCTCCCAATCGAAATGCCTCCTACTCGTACCTTCAGACGCTGCATGCTCTGGAGCAATCAAGAACCCAGCCAGGGGTGGATAACGGACTGACGACATCGGAGAAATATAACCTTGAATCAATTCCTGGACTTTAGAGAGTTCATCTGTGGTGGTAGTAAATTGGGTCTTGCCGTCTTGTAGCTTGGGAAAATCACTAAAACTCAACACCCATTATACTCTAAGATTGCTGATGCGGTCCAGATACAACAATACATGCCAATTTGTTTATTAAATGTGAGCTCTAAGATTTTTATAAAAATGCTAAATAATAGAATTTTGAAAGTGGCATACAAGTTGATAGGGCCGTCACAGACGGCCTTTATCCTATGTCGCTATATTATGGAATGAGTTGTAATGTTGCATGAAACGATTCATGAGTTGCATAGGAAAAAACAAGACGGTGTGATTTTAAAATTAGATTTCGAAAAAACATGATAAATTAAAGTGGCTTTTTATTCAACAGGTCCTCATAATAAAAGGATTCTCACCAACTTGGTGTGAATGGATTTCAAAAGTCATGTTTAGAGGGAGTGTTGCAATAAAGGTCAATGATAATGTAGGCCATTATTTCTAAACTAGGAAAGGAGTGCGGCAGGAGATCCGTTATCTCTAATCCTGTTTAATATAGTGGTTGACAGGCTAACTATTTTTAATTCACGAGTTAAAGAGGTTGAACAAATCCAAGGGGTTGTTCCGCATTTGGTAGACGAGGGATTTTTAGTCCTTTAATATTCAAATGACACTGTCATCTTAATGATCTAGAGAGGGCCAAAAACATGAAACTTTTACTGTGCTTTTGAGTAGCTATCAGGACTCAAGATCAATTTCCATAAGAGTGAATTATTTTGCTACAGCCAAAGTCAGTCAAAACGATTATGCACAAATTTTTAGGTGTGATTTGGGGTCGTTTCCGTTTAGGTATCTGGGAATTCCCATGCATCGTAGAAAGCTCATGAATAAGGACCGGAAACATGCTGAAGAACGTTTTCAAAAGAGGAGGAATTGTTGGAGAAGTAAGATGTTGTCAGTAGGATGGAGGCTTGTCCTGCTTAACTCTGTTTTAAGCCGTCTCCCCATGTTCATGCTTTCTTTTTTTAAATACCTAAAGGGGTTCTGAAAAAGCTGGACTATTTTAGATCATAGTTTTTTTTGGCAGAGTGATGAACACAAGAAAAACTATAGATTGACTAAGTGGGAGGTAGTATATACGCCGAAAGATCAAGGGGGGTTGGGAGTCCTAAATTTAGATGTTCATAACAAGTGTCTCCTAAGCAAATAGCTTTTTAGGTTCCTGAATGGAGTTGAGGTTTGGCAACAGTTACTTAGAATTAAATATCTAAAAGACAAGACTAACACAGGTTCAATACATGCCCAGGGACTCCTAGTTTTGGGCTGGCCTCATGAAGGTCAAGGAGTTCCTCTCGTTGGGAAAGTTTGATCTAGGTGACGGGTTTCAAGTGCGATTTTGGGAGGACTCGTGGATAAGACCTTGTCCTTTAAAATCTCTCTTTCCCACACTATATAATATTATTAGGAGGAAAGACGTATCTGTAAGAACGGTGTTGTCTATGACACCGTTAAATGTGGCTTTCAGGAGATCTCTGGTAGGTGCTAATTTACAAGCATGGCACGAGGCGGTTGCTATGATTGCAGATGTGCAGTTAACAGACCAGAAGGATTATTTTCAGTCAAATCCATGTACAGAGCCCTATTAGGAGCCGAAGCTATACCATACAACACATTAATATGGAAACTGAAACTACCTCTTAAAATCAAGGTATTTTGTGGTATTTGTATAAGGGAGTAATTTTAACAAAAGATAATTTAGCAAGATGACAGTGGCAAGGAGATAGGAAGTGTTGTTTCTGTTCTTCTGACGAGTCTATACAACATCTGCTTTTTGACTGTCATTTTGCTAAATTTGTGTGGTGAATTATTCATGTTTCCTTTAATTTAACACCTCCAACTATCGTACACAATTTGTTTATAGGCGGGTTAGACGGGATAAATAGGAAACTGAAATCTAAGATTCTTGTGGGTGCAAGTGCGATTTGTTGGGCGATATGGTTAATCCGGAATGAAATAGTTTTTGACAAGATCTCAACACCATCTTATTTACAGGTCATCTTCAAGGGGACCTACTGGATCAGGTTTTGGTCCCTACTACAAAAGGAGGAAGATCGTCAAATGACGCAGATGTGATGCAGGAATATTGAGACAACCGCGATGGAGGTGTTTGTAAGACATGGTTGGAGATTTAGCAATAGAATTGCTTTTTAGATGTCGATTTTGGAAACTTTTCTTTTATCCTCTTTGACTCAAAATTTTGTTTTTGAGACTGCGTGAACCACAATACTTGTGTTTGTAATAAAGAACAGCTATATGCATTAGTCGATGCAAAAGCTGAGATATTAATATATTCCCTTCTCTAAAAAAATTATACTCTAAGATACGTGTGTGTTTTGAGATCAGCTGCAAAATAAATGAATAAGCAGAGGTGGTTTGTGCGGCAGTGTGGAGTGATACGAAGCAATCGCTTGTTCTTCAACATGCCCGAGTCAAAACTTGTCATCGCCCCTGCGTCGTTTGCTCCGTACGGGCGACCGAGTTGCCGCCGCCATAGCCCCCTCCATGCCGCCCCCCGGGCCGCCGCCGCCGCTCTCTGGGCCGCTACGGCGACCAAAAAGCCCTCCCGTAGCAGCTCCCCATCTCCATCCTTCCTCTCTTCCCCTCCTCTTCCTCCATCAATCTCTATTTTTTCGGCAGCAAGGTTGCCCGGCAACAAGCTAGAAACGACGAATTCCAGTCCTCTAAGCCCGGATCCGGTGCCCCCACCTCAGATCCGGCGTGTGGCGGGTGGACGGGAGACGGGCTGCGGGCGTGCTTGCGGCCGGCGACGAGCGGCCGGTGGTCATGCTGGCCTACAGCGGCAGTGGCTGGGCGGCCAGCGTTACCTGGCGCAAGGAGAGTGCGGCGCGACGGGACCCTGGCGCAAGGTGAATATGTGTGATGCAACAGATTGGCGACTAAAAGTGCATTTGCCCCCTATGTGGGTTTTGGTGTACTGATGACATCCAAATTATGGACTAATGTGATCTTAATGAGATATGTCGCAGCAATTAGTTCCATGAAAGATTTAAAGAGTTGATAAAGATGAAATGATGTCCCTAAATTCTTGAAGTTGAAAAAGGCGTCGAACTCAAAGCGGATCTTCAAAGTTTACATTTTATGCTTTTGAGTTTAGGTATGCTGTACTATAAAGAGGAATGCAAACTTAATTGGTCTGAGGAAGATAGAGTGCTCAAGTATAAAATTAAAATCAAAGAGAGACACTCTAGCACTTCACGAGCACGTAGAATAGTTATTGGTGACTTTTGGTGTCGGAAGTCACGACGTAAGCCGGAACTCCCGGCCGTCGAAAGTCACGACTCACGTCGGAAGTTGTGACGCCCAGTCACTTAGCCTGTGCGGTGACTGCGGCCGTCGAAAGTCCCGACGTGAGTCGGAAATCCCAACAGTCTAAAGTCCCAACCCAAGTCGAGAGTCCCGACACTTGGACTTAGCTGGTTGGCTGACTGCGCCCGTCAGAAGTCCCTACATACGTCGGGAGTCCTGACCGTCGGAAGTCCTGACTCAGGTCAGGAGTCCCGACACCTGGTCACCTAGTTCATAATGACTTTGACCTTGACTATTCTACGTGTTCGTAAGTCGCATCGGAAGTCCTAACATTGACGTGTTTGTAATGACTTTGACCTTGCATGAACATTGTTTTCTTCAGTGGTCGGAAGTCCCATGATCTGTGTCGAAACTCCCGACGTAGATCTGAACGGTTAGATTTCTACTATGAGTATAAATAGCCCTCTCCTCTTTTCTAACCGGGACTGACTCATTCACTGCTCACCAACCTTCGTCCAAAATAGCTCCCAAGCATTCAAGACCCCCCTTTCCTCTACCCTTTGCTCCAATCTTCAATTCCCCTAGGGTTTTAAGTGAAAGGAGAGTGGATTGAGTGAGAGCATCACTTTGGCAAGCTTGAGCACTCAATTTCTTTGTTAAGCCAGTTAGATTTGCGTCTGTTACTCTTGGAGCTTTGCCCCTAGCTAGCTAGGCATTGCCCAAGAGCTTCCATCTTGTGAAAGAGCCTTGGGAAGTTTGTATTACCCTCGATTTCTTAGTGGAAACCTCGAGTGACCTTTGTGGTTGCTTTGAGAGAGGCAAGGAGGTGAAAGAGACTCTGACCTTTGTGGTCACCTCAATAACGAGGACGTATGAGCTCCTTTGTGGGGTTGCCGAACCTCGGGATAAATCTTTATGTCCCGTGTGCTTGTCGTTGTTGAGACTTGTGCTATCACTTTTGTTCTTGTGTGTCTCTTCCTCCCCAAAGATTTTCTTAGGGTTTGGACTCGATCTATGAAGTGGTGACCTTTCGGCGTCAAAGGAGCAACCCCAACATGTTACCTTACCACTAGGAAGTGGGGTTGTAAGTGATCGAAGTCACAAAGTTCATTTGAGCACTTGTAGTATATTTTCTGTAGGCGTCGGGACTTCTGATAGTTTATGCTAGAACTTCTAACGATGTTGGGAGTTCTGACCCAAACTTCTGACAGTTGCTGACAAGTGACTTTGAGTTTTATGTAGAATTTTTTAGATATGCCTATTCACCCCCCTCTAGACATTGTTTAGATCCTTTCAGCGATGCACCCAACCCTGGTGCTCTTCTCCCGGCTGTGCACCGCAGGGGCTAGGCCTGGCCTCAAGGTATACAACACCTTGGGGCGGTGGTGGCAGCGGTGAGCGTGTCCCCAAGGGCCTACTGCAGGGCCTCCATCCCCTATGATAGTATGTCCTTGTCCTGCTGCAGCGACTGCTTAGGCTATAGATGCCCACCAGCTGTGACTCTACCTGTGGACGTCCGGGGCGCGCGAGTTCATCGTGTGGGGGCTATGCCATGCAATGGCTCGGTGTTGTTCTCTGCTTCTATCTCGAGCATGGGTACTGGCACTGCCCTCGACGTAGGCTAGCATCTCCAGCTGCCTGACAGCACCTTCCTCATCTAGGTACCAGCAGCAACAAGGTTCCACTTGGCGTGCTGCGC